CTAAGGAGTCTGGCCGCCGCATTCTGCACCACTTGGAGTTTCCGCATCAACCTCAAAGGCAGCCCCACGTAGAGCGCGTTACAGTGGTCTAACCTTGAGCGCATGTACCAAGGTAGTGAGTGCCCTCGTGTCGAAATAGGGCCGCAGCTGGGCAACCCTAGCCAAAGGTGGAAAAAGGCGGTGCGGACTACCGACGCCACCTGTGTTTCCATGGTGAGCATCGGGTCCAGATGTACCCCCAGGCTGTGGACCCCACTCTTCGCGGCCAGGGTCACCCCCCCCAAATATGAGGGAGTCGCCCAAGCCGCCGGCCACCCACCCTCAGAACTTCTGTCTTGTCCGGATTCAGCCTCAGCCCATTTTCCTGCATCCATTGCAGTACGGCCTCCAGGCAGTGATCTTTCTTACTCTTTTTACTAGAGTAATTGTCTTTTTGCATTCTTCCTGAATAGTATCTTTGGTTTCTATCCATAGTTCTTCTGGTTCATAGTTGAGTTTAGTAATGCAAATCTGTTCTTTATGTGGACTTCGAATTCATCAGGAACGTTGTTTAAATTATATTTCTGCTTTGCTTCCTCTTTTTGCATTCCAGTTAGCTTCACTGACACACTCAAACTCCTTCACCACATTAAGGTGTTCATCCAAGAAGAAAAATCAAAATTAGCATAATTAAAAGCTATCCAGAATTGCAGGACAGCTCAGTGGTTTAGGTATTTGGCTGTGGAACTAGAGGTGGGGTGTTCAATCAGAGGCTGGACTTAATGATCCCTTGGGTCCTTTCCAGCTCTTCAGTTCTAAGATTTTCATCATCATCATCATTATAAAATGTATATTTCACCCATCCCTATCTGCTTTTTTTTTAATGAAAGAATGTCCTTTAACAAAACAAACAGTTGAAAGGGTTTGCTGATCATATCATTTTAGTATAGATTACTAATCTGATGGCCTTCTTCTTTTTTTTATTTTTGTTTACCCAAATAAGTCACAAAGGTTGAGTAATAATCTGCACATTTTCATTCCTGGGACTGCACAAGCAAATAACTAAAATAAAGTTACCATTTGTATGCTGAATGTTCCTAAGTTTGGCAGTATCCTTGGGGAATGTTTAGCAAGTAGGGTGAGTTTTCATATTTAAATAGACATAACAATTAATAACGATGTACTTACAAGGCACATTTAAAAGGCAGAAGACGAGGCTTCTTTTTGAAATAGGTTATTCTTCTTTGAAAATTAACTCTTAATTGAATGGCCTACAAGGGATTTGTTAGGGATACATCCTGACCAGTAGTAATGTCCTGGCAGCCAAGCTTGCACTTGCATCTTTCATACCTCTGGATTTAAGGCGAGCCAAGCCAATATGGGCTTAATAAAGTGAGAAGTGACAGAAGATGGATAGTGGTGACTACAGAAAGTCCACATGGAAAGTCCAGTTGGGTGTTTCCTTGCACATCCCTACCATCTTGAATGCCATTCAATATATGAAAGAAATGCTATAGGGACTTTCTGTCTCCCAAACATTTCACAGATGAAAAGAAAGAAACTTTTGGCTTCCTCTAACATATCCTCACAGCAAGGTTAGCTGCTCAATCCCTCTCCCTCCCTCTCTCCCTCCCTCCC